TAATAAAACATGATATTTTATGAGAAGTAATCCATATGCTCTTAAAGATGTTGGAACAGAAATGTCTGGGGTGGGTTTATCTATTTCATGTATTTGCAAAGACTTGATTCCTTTAGAGGCTAATATGTTTGCATTACATTTTATCACGTTAATCTGTGCAATGGAAGAGGCAATATCCTTGTGGTTACAGAAGGAACAAAGGTCTTGACTTAGTTAAGGTCAAAGAGGAAATTTGTGAACTGTGCCTTGTAGAATTTCACTGGTTTCACTCTGCCCTAGCACAAGCCACAGCATATGGCAGAGAATCTGCACAGTGGGTTTTTGCAAGGGAAAGAACAGAGAAAGCTCTTGGGAGAGTGGAACRTCTGATGCTGAGGCAATCACAGATTTTGTGGAACATGCGGGCTTTTTTTACTCTTTTCATGAATTAAATTTAGAATGCTGTATATAGTTCAGTACTTCTCACACATAAATCTAAGTATATTGAGAAACATGCTTTAACTACTCTCTTTGAACTTATGGGAATCCACATTTTATTGGAAATCTCTAAATTGTGTAGGAGGTTTTCATGCTGTCCTCCTCTGTTGGACTTTGGGGGTGCCGGACACCCAACAGAGTTTAAATGCCAAATGATAAATTGAGGTTCACTTCAGAATTGAGGTTCTGGCTCTGCAGGATATTCCAATAGCACATGGCAGGAAAGGCACRGGCAGGGAATGAAGGGAAATGCAAAAAGCCTGGCAGTGAGGTCACAGTGCCCAATTCACTGCACCTGCATGGCTCAGTTTTTGCATGAGGACAAAAAAAACCCCCAAAGCTCTGCCTGCATGCTGCCTCATAATCTACTAAAAAAACTTAACTCGATGCACATGGAAAGCTATYGGTTTTCATATTTATTGGTTTCCCAGATTTATTTGACAGTGTGTAGTTTCTTGCAGTAATKCAGTAATGGGTCCTTTAGGAGAAGAGAGTGAGGAAGGTAAGGGGATGCTGGATGCTGTTAGGATTTCTGCTTTTTTGGGCTGGGAGTAAAAACTTAAACATAAAAAGTTATCAGCACATTTATTCATTTTCAGGGTTTTTTTCTTCACAGAGCAAAGGTTAAATAATGCATTTATATGGTAAATGTTATAATTTCTCAGTTGGCTTGGTTTGAATAGTCAATAATTATTCTCTGAGATGCTTGTGACCATATTGAGATTTTATTCAAAAGCCTTTGAAATAAGCGCAAGGGGGAAAGTTGCTATTTTTGTTTTGTTATTGTTTTSCATAGGCCACATGCATGATGCTGTTTTTCATATTTGAAATCCCTTTCAAAGATATTTCAACTCCAAACACACAATAGAACTAAAGGATCCAATGATTATGGCTGGTAACGATATTGTGGATTCATGTGCTGACAAAGCCTAACATATTCTGTTTTATTTACCTGATTTTTTTTCCCTCAGAAATATGGTTTGAATCATACTCAAGGACCTTGTAATAGTATTCTTACTTTTATAATAAAGTCACAAAGAAGAGGCAAGTTTCAACAGATGTACAGAAATAAAAAACAAAACCTACCATATCCTTTAGAAACAACAGTCAAAAGATATATATGTACATTCCTCAAAAGATATATATGTACATTTCAGTGGGTCTTTCCATATACATGAAGCAAACATGAAACAGCCAGTAAGAATAAATTTTAACGAGCAACAGAATTAAGAAACCCAAACCCCCAGTACCTGGAATATGACACGTACTTCTTTTTCAAAGTGGACGTGAAATTTAACTGTGGTGWAAGCAGTTTGCTTCTATGGGTCACCAGTAGTCATTTTGTGTTTCATAATGGCAGCAAATGTGTGAGATAAATGCAGGAAATTTTGCAGCAGGATGAAAAATAAGAAACAATCAATAGCATGATTGGCAATGGGCTCTCTGTGTGACAGGGCACAAATGAAGGGGGATTTTTCTGTGGGCACCCAGCCTTCATCAGGCTCCATGTCCTGTGTGAGTTTGTCTTGTGTGTATGGCCTGAGAAGGCCTTTATTTCCTTAATTTTTATTATACAAATAGTCTGCATCTAAACACATTACTTCTCAGAGCTGTGGTCACATTTCTCTCAGTAGAGGTTGTTTATTTTCTGTAATTTTAATGCTTGGTGAAACTTGCATTCTGTAGTCTTAATCCTCAAATGGATTATCCAGGAATATCCATGGTAGTTTATGTTTCGGTTTCTAGCAGAAATATTTTCTTGGCTGCTCATTAAATGAGGAATCCTCTCCCAAGAGTATTTATTTCAACAGACTGTAATTGAGGTGATGCACTTGACGAGGAATATATGAATATATGTGAMGAAAGAGAGACTTATCATTTCAGTCACACTTTGGTTTACCTTGGGAAGTTAGTTTCAGTATGTAAATACRTGTGTGCACCAGCTGATGCACATCCTTGAGTGAAGAAGAAGGAATTTGCAAGAGGAGTTTTTATCTTCTGCATTTTGCGTTTCTGCAGCTTTCTGTTATGTGAGAGCCCAAGTGCCTTGCAGAGCTTGGCTGCAGCCATCTCATGGTTGAGGCCCTTTTTGGTGTTCTTTCAGGAGAGGATCTCAGCTTTCAGTGGGGTTCACTCAAGGCAACCATGAGGAGATTTTCAGAATTTGCAGAGRAAGATTGTGTTGCTGCCTGTTAGAAGATGGTTTTTAGATAAAGCCAGTGCGGAAGATTAGAGAATGAAAAAATGCCAAACTGGCTGTATTTAAAGATGTTGGAGACAAAAAATGSTGAAATCCAATACATAAATAAATATTTAAAGGTTGTAAAAAATGAACAAAGGGGTCTAAGAAATGGAGTACAGTTAATCAATAAGTGCTTCTTTAAAAATGCACTGTACAAAGTAAACAAAAAGGGAAGAAAGTATYGATCAGCATGTGTTGAAAGCTAGTGACAGGGATTAATCTGACTACACAAAAGACTAAAATCTCCACATAGTTGTTTCAGCAAGATAATATTGTCTGGTCTCTGAACTGMTTTTATCTTGGTAAGATTTATTCTAAAGCATCTTTAACAAGACAGTGAGCGCTATTCAGGACTGACAAAAGAGCATAGCTGCATAAAACTCACATTTTCTCAAAAAAAATARCAAAAGAAAAAAATAAAGTATTTAATGATGACTTCTATTGAAAGAAAATCAAAATTAAGTCTATTTGCACACATTACTTAAATAAGTTTATTTTAATAAATAGATTTTCTACTATTATTATTTATGTGGAATGTGATCCACTTTAATATAAGAATTCAAAGTTTGCAAGATTTGTGTATTACCATGGAAATGGAAGGTGGGTAATGGTGTTTGCACAAACTATTAAAAGCGAGCAAACAAATAAAACAGGAAGACATTAAACTCCCAAACATTTCGTTCACTGCCAGTAAGGATTTACTGTCTACATCCAGATTTTATACATCCCAAGGAGGAACAGGCTTAAAGCTCTTCAGAAATCAGTTTTTCTGCAGTGTGAAGAGAATTTCTTCTTGAATTACAACCTTTCCAGTTATATTTTAGACAGGTGAAAAGTCTCTTTGCTTTTTATTTTGAAGACAGTATTTGAAAGTACAGCTTTCAGAATTCCAAATTCGAATGACGGGAAAATGTAAACAGCAGGTGAGGACCTTTTTTATCTTAGAAATGGCTTCTATATCACTGTGGTGTTTCAGAAAGCAATTTGACAAGCAATTAAAAAAATCAAGATTTGGTACTTACAGTTTTATTTTTAATAGCTTATAAGAAAAGGACTGGGACTTACAAGTGACAAGTGCTTGTGTTTAAGATTCCAAATGTTTGGTAACAGCACTGTGATATTCATTCTTGAGAAATTAATAATTAGGATACTGTAYATAGTCTGTAGTGATTTGCCTAGATTTACCTCGGTGTTTTCATGCAATATTTGTTATGAAGCTGGGAGTTACAGACTTGGAGCTGCTGCCACCTGCTTGACATGTGTGTCTGGTGTTCACAACGGTGGGGGTGGCTGCTCTGAAGAGCTCCAGCCTGGAAAGGAAATGTGGATTTGTCAGAGCACAGTGCTTGTGCTGTGCTTTGGTAATCCTGCACATTGGGAATGGAAATACCGGTTTGTATGTTACATGTTTGGAGAAACCGGTCTTAAAAAATATCAATGTATTTAGTATTTCAGCACTTTGACTAGAAAAGTGTTGGAAATAATAAAAATAATACATATCACTTAAGGAGCTGTTGATGAATTGAATGTGTGAATCTCCAGTTGCTTATCACCTTCTGTCCACTGTCACAAATGAATGTTTTCTCTTATTTTCTTAGCGTTTTCCTTTTTTTTTTTTTTTTTTTTTTTTTTTTTTTTTTTTTTTTTTTACTTTCATTCTGTTCCTGTTTTAATTAAATATGAGATTTATAAAGAATTTTTTTTAAAGTAGATGCCTATCAAGGCAATATCTGGTGCTTTACAGCAAAGCAGTCATTGGGTTCCATCCAAGTTCATTGAGTTAATTACTGTGGCATGTTTTGCATAAGCTGCAGTACATGGGAGTAAGGCRTTGTAATCACCAYTCAAATAAAAAAAAAAAAAAACCTTGGTTTTGGGGTAGCTGGAAAAGAACTCTGACTCACGTGCAACATTACAAGAGCTCTGATGGTTCTTCCCTTAAGCCAGATGAAATCCATGGTTTTAGGGCTGTTTATCCTATTGACAGTAGAATCTTTGTTGAGATAAACTGAAATACAGCATGTAGGGCAGAAAAAAAGCTGAAACTGTCCTGATTGTCATTACCATGTATCTCTCAGAGGTATTTGGGCCATTTTCTAAAACTGCCYGAGGAGCCACAATGATGTAGAGGGAAGTTTCCGAGCAGCATCCATTCTGGGAGGGTTTGGCTGACCCAGACCTCCCCGTCTCTGGTATCCATCCATCGCTGGCGACAGCGAGGTGCTGAGTGCTGTGCTGTGCTGTGCTGTGCTGCTCTAACTGTGCCCTTTGCTGCCCACAGAGAGTGAGGAGGTGTACCAGCGCCAGGTGCTGTCCATTGCCTGTATCGTCTTTGGCATCGTCGTGGTGGGCGTGCTTTGTGCCGCGTTCTACTTCAGAGCCAAGTAAGAGCCTCCCTCTGCTGCCTTTGGCTTTTAGCTGCTCTCCTCCTTTCAGCCCCAGAGTTCCTCAGTTTCCCCCTTCTTTTGCAGTTATCTCTGGTCAGGCTGCAACAGCTCCCCATGTCCTCCCCGAAAAAGTAAACAGGAATAATATGTGTTCTTCTTTCTATTTTTTTATAATAGGTTGTGTCATTTCCAGTTCTTTTTTTTTGACAGTAATAATTTTGTGTCTTTCACTATCAGTGCAATAATCACTTTGCTCTCCTGAAAATGACAGTTTAAACATACCATCTCCTTTTTGCATTTCGTTTCATTTCATATCCATGAATGTCCCTGTTATTTCTGCAAGCTGAGAACAAAAGTAAAGTTAGAAATGCAGAAAGAAGTTCTCTGCAGATGTCTGTAACCTGTAGCTAATAAAGCAACCTGTTGATGAAGAGGCACATGAGTGTCTGTAACACAGAAGCACTTTGACCTATCCAAGTAATGGAATCTTCGTACTAGATTATTTTCAAATTAAATACTGCCCAGCCTATTTTTTTTATCTCACCAACAGAATATTATTTCATAATATTTATTGTTGTGTGTGCAATTCGAGTTGCAAGAACCTCCTAGCAGTTCCGTGACATGCTTGTCTGTGCTGCTGTATCTATAAATATGTTCTGTATGGTGGTCATCCTTCATTCCTGTCCCAGCTGGAGTTAATGAGAGAACACAAATCAATATAAAAAGTATCTGCATGAAGCTACTCAGGATGGCTGAGCATCAAAAATGTGGAGGTTGGCACTATTTAAAAGTTTGGATGTTTATCTGAATCCCCCTTTCTGGAATTTATTTTAATGTCTAGGAAATCTAATGAGGACTAATTTTTATTTAGAAACATTTCTATCAGGAAAAAAAAATCGGCAGGTTTTTTTTTCCCCAATTTCTTCCCTTCAGACTTCAGGGGTAGGTCATGTGTGATTTGAGCRAAGATTTGAGTTGGTTCATACTTTTTTTTCCTAAACACTCCTAATTATTCTAATGTGTTGAGGGATTTTGTTTCATTTTTCTCTGGTCATCCGGTGTGCCAGTGATGCCAGCTGGGAAGGCCAGATTGGCAGGACAGTTCCTCCCTGGAAACTCCTTTGTTGCAGTGAAATTGTGAGCAGAGAGAGCCACTTTGGCAGTGCATTAGAAATGTCATTATGCATTTTGGAYCTGCAGAAGAAAGAACGAGCGAGGATCTTCCTGGAAAGGCTGCTTTTGGGTTTTGCTGTTGGAGAGTTTCAGAAMGGCAGAATGGGATTGTCAGTAGGAGGAGCATGCCCTCAGTGGCTGAACATACTGTGAAWTAAATGCCCCTCTGTTTTTCACAGTGCCCCTGTTGGTTTTGCTCTCTGTAGGAKTGGGCAGAGCGGGGTTGGAAAAGCCTGCAAAACAGCACAGCATGGATGAGGCGATGAGGAGAGCCAAGTGTGACAGTAATGAGGGGGAATAACCCAAAAAGAGGAACTTTTCAGGACAATAGTGCAGCACAACTCAGGAGCAGGTGGGGTTTGGGSCTGTCATTATAAACATGAGAGTTACTGAGTAGAGTTGAAATGGGTTTGTGCCAGACTCTGGGAGCTGAAGTTTGGAATTAGAAAATGAGCACCTCTGCTTCAGTCAGGGAGCCTCAGACAATACCTGAGAAGAGAAATAGAAAGAGACTGATCAATCCCTGACCATGGTCCTTTGGCACTGTCCCAAAAGTGAATGAGAGTGTCTGGTCTGGGTATCATAGAGGCCATGTGAAATTGTAAATGTAACACTGGCCAGTGTCTTAACAACAAAAGCCCAAYCAATTTAAAGTGCCTCAACACTTACCATATGTTAGCTTTTAGTCAGCAGATTTTTGGGAGCTTCTTTATCAGGCATATGTACCCTGACTATGTTTAAAATTATCAAAGCATTCCTCCTGCATGGGGGTTATCTTGGGGTTTTCTTTGATGTACAAAAAAATCAGAATATTGCTAACAGATATAGAAACTCTGAATAGTGCATCCATTAAGAAAAAGTTTCCATGAGGATCCTGACCCTCTCTTACTTAGTCTGACAATTCCATAATACCAGCTGCTAGAAATAGACACTTCCCTCTGTGCCATTGAATTAAAAGTCCTTTTCTAAAATAGATTCAATCTGAGAAAGTTTAGGACTATAATTAAACTCTRTGCCCTTCCAATTATTCCTTTTAGGTTAATCAAGAAAGTGCTGGAAGTGTTAGCAACAGATGAACAGTACAGTAATGGGCTGCCCTTTGCAGCTCAGACTTTTACAAATGACTGGTGACTTTATTTCTTGCTGAAGTAAGAACAYTTCATTGCCAAACAACTCTAAAGTAGAACACACAAGGCCCATTTGTTTTGAAAACAAAAATTATAAAATAAATTTATTAATCAGCAAGTAACTTTGAATTATTGAAAGTTTCTAGTTTTATAGCTGTGCGACCTATAGTTTGGCAAAATGAATRTGCATAAACCTAGTATTAATGTTAGGTTGCATGAACATAAAAGGAAATTAATGATTGGATTGTTTTTCTCAGCAAATTACCTTCAGGAATTTCAGTTGTAATGTTAAAGATTGCAGTAGTGAAGCTGAATATTCCAGTTTACTTACACGTGTTTGTATACACAGAACAAGTCTATTTATTCATTCTAAATAAATCCAAAAATTATTTTGCTGTTTTCCTGATGAAATTGTCATTTTGTGTGGTAGCGGTTCTCAAAGTGTAGTGCTGCAATCATGTTTCATTACCATTGTTCATACCTTATCTGTGAAGTCTCCACTCAGACACCAGCATCCCAGAGACTGGTTTTCCAGCAGCRCACAGCAATAGATGTGCTAATTTCCTCAATGTATGTAATTTACATGCTCAAAAAATAGTTGTTCATAAAAATGCTAAAGTTGCTTTTTTATGAATCTCCCCTGGAATTTTATGAGAAGCTAAAGAGCTCATTTAGACATTTTGCATATTAAATTGTTCAGTTCTATTGGATTCAAAAATTAGTCGATATTAAAAACATTTTTAAAAGACATGTTTCAGACTCAACTGACTAATTCAATTGGACACTTTAATCCTTTAGATTATTCCAATACTAACTTTGCAAGTTTTAGGTAAGGAAAATTTTGAAAGTTTTTGTTCTTGAGAAATTATTTCCTCACCTACCTCTATTCATAAGTTTTACTAATTAGGAGTTCCTAGCAATTCTCAGAACATGCCACTCATATTTTTAACATGCTTACAATATAAATTMATTCTTTTTCATTCACTGCAAATTAGGATGCAAGTAGAAAGCCTGAGAGGGTCTTGTAGGGTTTGATTTGTCACAGCTTGTGACCTGTACTCAGAAAAGGGGCTGTAACAAATCCTTCTAAACACTTACAGTTTGTGGAATTTAAGCAAATGCTTACATTGTGCTATGCTGAATCAAAACTAAGGGACTCAAAAATTATTAAAAACTGTATTATTAAAATTGAATATCTGGACTGTGATACTTCTCACCACTTACTTTCATATTGAGGGAACTTGTCCTTTCTCACAAGTCCCTCCATTGAACATATAAGTATTTTTCCTCTGTTTTTTATACTTTGCTGCAGTAGGTACAGATTCCACTGTAAATAAGAAATTAAAATTACTTTTATACTTCATTCTGTGTCAAATTCACTGGCCTGACTCAAGTAAGATCCTGTCAAACTTGATGATGTCAAATCAGCAATCTGCAATCAAATCACCAGAAATATTTCAAAATGTTGCTGAAGCTTCTTTGCTAAAATTTTAATTTCAGTATAGCAAGGTTAAAATTTTAATTTCAGTATAGCAAAGTTTCTTTATCTCTTATCAACATTTGGCTGAAATCGCTTCCTTGTGAAATTTGGCAGACACCATAATGGAATGCTGCCACGGTTCCTGGGTGCTTTCCAAGGCCATTTTAGGTTCACTGTTGGAGATGCATCTTCTGGGAAGAACAAGGAAACAGGGAAGGAAGGAGAGAATTCAAATGGTATTGCTAAATTATTACTAATGATAATTTAAAATTGCTAAATTATTACTAATGATTATTTAAAACTGATAAACCCAGACAATGTAGCTTATCACAAAGGAAAAAAAATAACAGAGACTGATAAAAGACCTTGAATGTATTTTGCTAACAGTTTTTGCCCGGCTGAGATATCTTTCTGCAGAAGATAAAAGCAATATTTAAGGTTTGCTGTCTCATATCCTGTGTCATGTACAGAACCTAAAAGCTGTTTGTCACTCACACTCGAGATAGTATGGCAGAAACACAGAGTGTGCATTAACAGTATGGTTATCTCCTGAATAATGCAGGGGATTCATCCAGCAGTGTTCCTAGCTCTGACGTGGTGAATGAGGGTATAATAATTCATAAACACAGCCTCAGAGGCCGCACTGATGCTTTTTCCAGGGTTTAAACATGTGAGCAGAAGCTGCTCTATACAAGATGGGTTAGAGGTCAAGTCTAATCAGCCAGCAGAAATCTTTGATTCTTCATCAATTTTTATAGCCAGCAGAACTAAGGCCTGTTTGATTTGCCAAAATCTTTTTTTCCAAATCAGAGCAAAATGCTTTTTTATTATTCAGACTGACTTGCAAGCTATTGTTAAACGTGCAGTGGAAGATCTTGCAAAATCCTGCACTAACGGAATGAGCAGACTATTATAGTAATCTGAGAATAGAAGACATTTTAAAACAGAAGATTTTTTTCCTCCTTTGTTAATCTTTGCCAGGAAACAACCACTGCATTGAAATGTCAGATATTTGTGAATTAGCTCAGCTGGCTCATCTAATACGGTGAAGTTTTGAACAAAGGGAGCTCTGGTTATAAAAGTACCGTGGCTACAGCAGAAGATCAGTCGAGCTCTTTCTCACATGAATTTCATTTCTCTCTGCAGGAAACAAACAAAGCAAATCCATGAACAGCTGAAAGAAACGCAGAATAGGAAAACCTACAGCCTAAATGCTTCCAGCATGATGGCAAAGTCGGAGTGTGTGGCACAAAGCCAAGTCCAGCTGCAAAATGTAAGTAATCCTGCCAGCTCCAGCTCTTAATAGGCTGGCTGAGTTCCTGCTGCTGATGGCAGCACATTGTCATGCTGCTCTTCACATCTGAGCAATGGGAGCCACAATTCTCACCTCTTTCATCAAATGGTTTCTATCAGCCCTCTTAGTGGAAAGCAGGGGTTTTTTCCCTAGTTATTTCAGTGGGTCCTGGTACATTTTGTGAATGTGGCAGACTTTGCAGAGCCCCCCAGCAGTGGAAATTACTGCTGTGGTTTCCAGCAATACCTGAGCTCACACGTGTCTGGATGTGTAGTGGGGGTCCTTGAATTTCAGTCAAGTCAGGTCTTCCAATAATTTATGACCCTGCACGAAAAAAACCCAGAAATTTGTTACACTTAATTCAGAGTAAATTCAAAATCTAGAACAAAATTTGCACATGTAAACAAATGCCCAAGGGGAGACCACACAGATGGTCTCATTTTTATGGTTCTTTAGTTAAAGGTACTTTGGTTTACAGAATGAAATTAGTTTGTTCAAACTAAATTTCAAATTTATTTAGTCATTTCCTGAATATAGTTATATGTAGTCATTACAATCTCACGATCATGAAATATATAAAGGTGTTTCAAATAAGGAACTTGACAGCCAATTTATTTAGCCATGGTATTTTTTTTTGCAAGGTATTTTCCAGTATATGTCAGTGTCTTTCCCCTGGTCACACACAATCTGTGCTGTCTTTGAACAAAGCCTTTGGAAGAGCTGAAAAGGATCCTGGTAGCAATATAATAGGAAAATATAAAATATGTATTAAAACCTTTGTAAATTATTAACTCCTTTTTTTTTTTTTTTTAAGTATCTCAGTATTGCTTAAAGGGATGGCTACCTTATTTGCCAGATTCTATCAAAATAGTGGGAATTTAGCAAAAGTGAGTGATCGTGCCTATTTTAATAAAGATTTCTCAACTCCTAGTTTTCATCCAATTAATTTAGAGAGAAGTATAAGCCCTTTTAACCAAGTTAGAGTAAGCAGAGCCTCCCTGCCAGGACAGAGAGGTTGTCAGAGCATTGCTTGTGTTCATTAAAGGCTCTGTTTTGTAGGAACATTGTTGTGGTGCTCCTGTATATACTCATGATACACTTGTAATTCAKGAAAAATATACTCTTAAAGAAGGAAGGTAGCTTCACTAAATTGACATAATCACAGTTTAGGGGACCTTGTGCAATTTTTTCTCTCACTTTCAGTTCATTCAGTCTCGTATTATTTCTAGCCCCTAAAAAAAAAAAAAAGCTGTTTGGAGTGTTGTTGGGTTGGAATGATGGTAACARAAGTTAAAGTTCATGGTCCTTTTGTTCTATCCTATGAAACAAGCCCTGGTTAACACTGAGAATATGTTCTGTGCCTTTTTATCACTGTAATTCAGTGCAATATTTTGYCTTCTTATTTTGCCATAACCATAGCCATAATTGTTGAAGTGGCAGTTTGTAGATTCTGTAGAGATTGAAAACCATCATTATATTTACTGTTTGAATCCAAATTTCCTTTTCAGTTTTTAACACTGCTCAGGCTGGCATTATGAGCACTGGTAATTAACACACCAATTTCTCATTCTTGTGGCTGTTTGCAGGCTCGTTTTCTCCTTGCCATTAATGCATTCTCCCTTTGGGGAGACCGTGAGGAAGGAAAACAGAACGACCTTGTGCAGGATACAGGGGAACGGTGCAGGGTAATAACAGCTGCTGCTGTTGGGAAGATTGCAGTGCAGGGATGCATGCAGGCAGCTCATGAAATATTTACAAAACTTGCCAGATTGTGGGGRGAGCAAAGGGCAGGGGTAGGGTGAGGAAGCAGAAAAGGAACTTTGGAGAGGTATTTTGTAGGAATGGCTGAGTGACCCCCTCAGAGACCAAAGACGTCTCTGGATGGGAAGAGGATCAGGCAGCAGCCTGGATGTGATCCCTCTGCCATTCCCATCTGCAGCTGMCACTGCAGAGGCCTGGGGAGAAACCTTAGTTCTCTCCATCTCCAGGAGCTAATAAATAAACTTAAATAAATTAGGGCAGTTATTTTCTGGAGACAACTCCTCCAGTCTGGCATTTTGGTTTATGCAGTCCTGGAAGTTGTTTCTTTTCCTGCTTGCACGTGCTCCTCCTACCAGCTAGAGAGTTTTCCCATTTATGTCACTTTCTTTCTTTCCCTTGAAGATTCTCCTGTATTTTTCTCTTATCTCTTTTGAATAGACCTGGTGATGCTCTCAGGCTTTTCACATCTCTTTCTTCTTCCACAGAGAAGAAAGCTTTTGTGGAGACCAGAGAATAGTTGCATAAAGTTCCTTATTCTTGATGGCTGCTCTGAAAAAATCACCACCTTTTGACTCAGAGATTGCTATATTTAGTAAAGGGTCCATCAATTTTTCCAAATGTAGTGTTGCTCAAAAAAGAGGTTTAACTCCTTTCCCAAGACCCAGGGTATAGCAGACAGTGTGTTTCAAGTGGTTTTTGCCCACAAAGAGCTTGACCAATCTCAGTAATTTTTCTTCCCACACTCAAATGTATTACATCTCCACTCCCTCCCTCTGCTCAGTTGTGACTCTGAAAGGTGAAATAAAGGTTGGATTTTGTCAGGGCAGCTGTGCTCTCTCTGAACTCATGCTGCTCACCACTGGCAATTGTGCTCGCCTGTCCAAGTCTCATCCTCAGTAACGATTTTTTTGTTTTGTTAGAGATACAAATTAGATGGAAAATGCTGTGCACTGTAAGGATTCACAAATATCTGTTTGAACGCAGCTCCTAGGATTTCCTGAATCTCCTGCAAGTCAATTGCTTTTCCCACATATTCTGGCAGCAGCTCAATTTCTTGCTAGGTTTTTCTTGCTAGGATTTCTAGCTTCTTGGATTTAAAGACTAATGCACTGGTAATCTTGCCACAATTCTTAAGCCAGGAAGACACAGATGTGCTAGCTTTTATTTCAGGATCTTTGAGGCCCACAGGAGATTCAGATTAATTTCACCTAATGCATGAAATCTAGGACTTGCCAAGTGTTAGGTACCCCTTCCCAAAGAGATCATGCACTCTTCAAGAGACATTTAAAGGGCTGCAGCAAACAGTTGGGTCTCCACACAGTCAAAAGGAAGGAAATTGTCATTCTTTCYCCCCTAGAAAGGCAAGTGCTTGGTGCACCTCACACACCATGGTGACAGGAGGAGTGGGGTGGGTCCTAATTACTCCCTCCTTTTTCACCATATGATAAGAGGGTTTTGTTAAATTCTCAGAACTTTGTAAAAAAGTCATAGAAAAAAAATTMGAGTCAGCTGAAACCTTGACATTCCTTTAGTGAATCTGAGAATTGTCATGGCTTTTTAAAGTGGCCTTTTCTATCTTTGTGGTTTTTAGTACCTTCTCCCATGGTACAACTGGGATCTATTAATTTCCCATCCCTTGCCCTCTGAGATGGTTAATAAGTTTTTTATGCTGTACTGTGTGGTTTCACTTTTCACTACACTTGTTTCTAGTAGCTTGCAATCCCTAGCTCCAGGTTTCTGAAATTCTGTAATGGAGGAACAAAAAAATGCTCATTTTGCATCTTGTTGCCTTTTGTTGACAGTGGTAGGAAATGAAATTATTTCAGTCACTGTGATAGAAATGCACTTAATATATGCTGAGCAAGAGATACACTTAAACCTTTTAAAGGATTATTCTGTGGTTTTACCTGAATTACCATTTGATTTATCAGCTAAGATCAAGAGCAAATCTCCCATTTCTATATCACATGACAGAGGCTGATTTCTTGTCTCCTGGCTCAGGCTGCCCTCACAGATTCACTTAGTATTAACTAGTAGGGGGTCGAATTTTTATTGTCAGGTAGTTGAGTACTTGTACGTACTAGATGATTTTCTCCACAAAACCATGAAAAATTGAAAATTTGCAAAATMTTTTTTTAAAAGCTATTCTTTAATTTATTTAGCCACGTGCCTCAGTGCTCAAATTCSCTTACATTCCCACCCTCATTTTAAGTGGTAATTCACATTTTCATTGTAGTGGGTGCTGTGACTGTTACAGGAATTGGGTATTACATGGTGTATGTGAAAAAAGGGAATAATCTTCATTTGGGGGAGAATGAAGCCTTGCAGGCTGTGCCTGAGTGCTGCTGGACCTTCACTGCAGTTTGCAGAAATCAGCATCAGGGAAGCTCCTCAGCTGTGATGAGGAAAGACTGTGTGCCCACATCCACCTGAAACACAGATTAGCAAAAGGCACAGCTCATCTCTGCTYTTCATCATTCACTTCATACTCATARTTTTGCAGGCCATTCAGGCCCTCAGTTTTGTGTCGTGCACAAACCCAAAAAATGGACAGAAATAGGTTCTTGGCACCAGCAAGCCATTCTTTACATAGCTCAAATTGATTTATTCAGGTCAGAAATCAAAGCCAGTTTCATTTCTGCAKCTGGCAGGATAACCATTAAAGTTTAAAACCTTCACCGGAGTGAGTGCCTTAAAAATCATATTTCTGTCTGAATATTTTAGCTACAACATTTACAAGTGACAACTAAGATCACAGTAACTGAAGGAAACGAGAGTGGAATATGTTTCTTCTTATTATTTCAGTTGTGTTTACTTCGTGCATGCAGCACAATTTTGCATATTGCCACTCCTGGCTTTGCCTTCAGGAGCACGAAAACAGCAATTTTGACCCTGTTTACATGGGTATTTCACTCAAGAGAAAGAGGAAGAGCAGTGGAAAATGATGGAGGAGATCTGTTATTTTATCTGTAGAAATTGGTCAGAAGAAGTCTGAGTAGCTGGACTAAAAATACATGTAAGCTATTTTTAAGTGGCTTTCCTATTTGATCTTGCTGAAGTCTACAGAAATGTGGATAAGAAGTGAGAGTCAGAAAAGAATTCTGTTGTATTAAGGAGCTGTTAGTCTTTTATTAAACATGACCACTAATTATGAAAAACTCTATTTTGAAGGAATGTTTACTACCTCTCCATGAATTTTTCTGCTGTTGTATCACAGCATGGGATTTTTTACCACACTGATTTTTTGTCTATTATTTTTATTATTTTAGTTCGTATTTTCTTTCTAAAATATCTAGTCATGTCATTTCTTTCACAATACCAATTTATTGTAAAGAGAACATAGATATCTAGGTATCTAATACTGAAAAAAAAAAAGGAAATAGGTTTAAACTAGTTTTAGTGCAGATCCTTGTAAGGCAAGGTTAAATATCTGAAAAGCACTTTATTTTTCATAGTTGAGTGGAAAAGTGAGTTAACCTCTCATATCTCTGAGTTCCTGCACAGTAACCACTAACAAGATGGAATCTGCTTGTAAGCCCARGTGCAGCTTTCTATACTTTGGTTTTATGGCTCCATTTAGGTTYAGAAAATCTCTTTATTTTCTCTTTTTCTGAAATGGAGTTGAATCACAAAGCAATGGGAACAAATCTGTTCTTGTTCTTGTCTGGTGTCTGCTTTGCAGACCTTTGTGTCTCGCTGTGTGCCCAGAGACTGCCCTACACCCACACCTGCCACAAGGAGAATTGTGTTTACACTGTTCTTACTGGCGTGGATACTTCCAGGTCAAAAGTTTCAGACTGGTTCACAAAGATATCTGGCTCTGTGGAAAGGTGTCAAATATTTTTCTTACTTATCTGTTGACAGCAGTGCTGTTTCAGTTTGGTTTTCATAGCTGCACATGCTGATGATGAATGCAGTGTTTGACTGAAATCACCAAAGGACACAAGAAGTTGCTGACTGTCCTCTGAGATGAGTTTTGTGATCTCAGTCGCTTCACAGACACCCACAAAAACAGGATTTTAGTCAAAGGGATCAGTGTTCCCATCATTCTGGGCAGATCAGTCCGTAATTTTGCTGCTAATGCTGATGTCAGTGTTTTGATGTGGAGAACGTAATGGGGATAATGAATGTTAGTCCTTTCTGCTGTGTAAACTGAATGAATGTATGACTTGCAATGCCTAATTTTGACTTTAAAATGCACTAGAGCACTCCTTACCCCACTCTGATAGGAATTCRGAGCGAATAGCTTCAACAGTGTACTTTGTCTTGAGTGTATCAATTAATTTTATTCTCTCCGCTACAGTATTCCAAACCAGACAGGCATCCRGGGCCTATTCTGCACAAAGTCATGGAGTCCAGCTTTTCAGGCCCTCAGTCTTTCCCAGAGGCCTTGTCCCCTGACAGAGGAGCCCAGCCCATGAAGCATCACAGGTGAGCAGAGTCTGTGTGTGAAGGGTCCATTGCTGATCCGTGTGCGGGGTCATGGCAGCGGGGAATGGGGGAACTGCAGAGCACTGCGGGGTCAGCAGGGCCTGAGAACATGGGATCTGTGTCCAAACCCTGGAATGTCCAAACCCTGCAATGTCCAAACCCTGCAGTGTCCAAACCCTGCTGTGTCCAAACCCTGCAGTGTCCAAACCCTGCA